ATATCCAGAGATGTAGTGAACTTATTTTCAGTATGACATAGAAAACAATGTGAATATTTAAGGTCTGGGACTATAGTTAAACTTCACTAAGGATTTTCAGAAATGTGTTGTTTTTCGTTCATTTTTGGTTTTTTGTTGTTTTGTGTTTTTTAGATATGGGAATAAAGGTAATTTTGTTGACTCTTTATTGGTGCTAATGATGGACAGTTAAACAGATAGTGTATATGCTGTGGATAAGTACACTTAGTACTTCCAGAACTGACTCTGAAATGCTATGTATTCACTTTTCACTCTGTAAATGTAATTCTTTACAATGACTATTTATTAAAAGGCAGTCAGTTGTGATTTTTACAGGATTGTGTGAACTATTCAAACTCTTCAACCTCAGAGCAAGATGCTAAAACCACAATGGGGAAAACTCGTGACTCCTTGTTTCCTTTCCCTTAAGGAAAACCCTCATAGTTCATATCACCATGAATTTGCTTGAACGATCTTGTTTGCATAACATAGTTCATTTGCATGGTCCCATTAGACTCTACCAAAGAAAAAAGACTCAATAAATGGACATTCTGTTGTGAGTCTTGTAAGTAGCCATAAATAACCAAAATAGTATCAAATTTAGGTGTGAAATTTCACATGTGCGTAGTACTGTTAAGGTGATACATTTTTTGATGAGTTTTTTAATACTTGAAAATAATTAAAAAGCATTATCTTTCCATCATCCTATAAAAGAGTGATTCATTCTTAAGGTGTGTTTCCCTAGGTTTGTAACCTTTTTGCAAAAGCACATTGTAATCAGAGGCTTCCTGTCTACCTCTCTCAGCTAATTTTATAAAATCAAGATGTGCTTCCTAAATATTTGCCTTAGCTACAAACACAAGCTATCTTCAGAACCAAAGCAACGGAGGGTTTGTTTGCGGGAGCCTTCTTGGAGGCCTGTATTACAAGCTCGGTGCCAGTGCCCACTGGTAGATAAGACCCTGTGTCTCCTGGTAGCAAGTAGCAGTGAAGGCAATAGTCAGTGCCAGTCCTGGATATACTTTAAAGCAGTGAATACTGGTATTAGAGTATTCAGCTTTAAAGATGTCTTTTGTGGTATTGGGTGGTTTCTTTAGGAATGTCATGAGTACACACTTTTTGCCAACAGATAGTAATTATACAGAACTCCCAAACATTTGGACCTATCTGTTCACTTTGAAGTAAAAAATATAACAGGTTAGGATTTACTTTAGAAAACCAGTTTAAAATCTTGTCATTGGTTACTAAATACCTTGCCTTAAGATGATTCAAGAAAGCATATTTTCTTAGAATTTTAATTCTGATTTTATTTGCATTATATAAGCCGCTGCCTATATAATGCATGGGTGGAACATGATTTGTTGGTTGGATGACTTAAGGCTCCTGCATTGTGGAGATGGTTTATTTTGATAACTTCTCGGAAAGAGAAAAGTCTCTGGTTTGGGATCTTTGAGATGAGACAGTCTTGCTCTATAACAAGGAAAAGGGCTGACTGTAATCCATTCTCCTGCCTCACTCATGCCTGGATTAAATCTTACATAAGCAAAAAAGGACTTCAAACTTAGACTTAACTAAGGACCTTTGACTTTGTATCTCTAGACTCAGCAGTTCTGCCCCCTCAGGACCCTTTCCTAGGAGGCAGTAGGATCCACTCAGCAAGCTGTCACAGGGGAAGAGGCTGCAAAGCCCACACTAGGAGACCAGGAGTTGAGATTGGGTTTAATTCTGTGCCTGTTGGTTTAAGGTAGGTGAGTTGAAACATTTGTACTGACAGATGTACATGACAGAGTTGAAACATCTGTACTGGCAGAGTACATTCCTATTTTTTTCCTCAGTATTTACTGTTGAGACGAGGGTATGCAAGCACAGCTATAGTACAGGCCACCAGACGGAGGGCAGCTTTGGCCTAGACAGAAGCCAAGTCAGATAGATGCTCATTTTAAACTTCTTAGTCGGGGATCTTGATACTACATGCTCTCTAAGTATGTTCCATTATTTCAGTTTTTGAAGTGTGCCTGGCCAGCTCTTTGCTTTGTGAATCCCTTTTTCTGGTTTATAATTCACCATCTCTCCTACCTGGCATATTTCTTGAGGTGTGCTTCATAGGTGGGAGCAGTACTGTTTGTATAGAGCTGACTTCATCCTTCATTGCAATTCAGTAATCTCAAGTCAATCCTGTAAACTCTGTAGTTTCTTTTGTTTCCAAGTTTGGAGAGGAAGCCTCACTTAAAATCCTTCAGCTGACAAGTCAGTTTAGTAGTTTGTGTAACTCGCTCCGCCTGGTATTGAGTGGCTTCTCTTGATTAGGAAAACTGCCCTGGAGTACCATTTTGTTATGAACAGTTTGAATTTGAACATTCAAAACCCTTGTGGATAATTGAATGAAACAAGAAAATGTGTATATTGGCATGAATTAGCCATTGAATTTCAGCTTCTCATTACATAAGGAATTATTAATAAAGTTTGTTTATTGACAACCAAATCCAAGGCTGTAACATGTTTTAAGTTAATGTGAATCTAAAATAACAGTTCTTGGGAAAATGGGAAGGTCGCCGTGATGTAATTGACTCTCATCTGTTATCTAGGAAGGAGTTAGACTGGATGTTCTACTTGTTACCTCAGCCTAACAATAGTAACGACAGAGAGAGTTGGGGACTTCGTGCCTTTGTCTGTTTTCTCTTTCTCTTTTTTACTGTGTAGCTCAGGCTGGCTGGCCTCGAATTCACTGGGTAGCATTACAGATACACAGCACTACATCTGACTTACTCTGCCTTTTAAATATTTCTAATACTCTCCAGTTTTCCAGTGCTTTCCACTTGAAAGCGAATGAAAGCTATTCATGATTTTAACAGAGTTAGGAAGTTTGCTTAGTAAATACACATTTTTATATATTTTATAGTATATAAAATATAGTAGATTTTATACATTTTATAGTAAAATGCATTTTTAAGCCTAAATATAAATAGATGTCTTTCATAGCACACAGATTTGTATTAGCAGTAATGTGCAATCACTTCTTAGTACTGAGTCTAGGACCTGGTACAAGTTGCTCAAGCATCCCACCTCTGGCCTGTCTCAATAAAAAGGGACTCCGGAGGCAGGTAGATCTCTTGAGTTTGAGGCTAGCCTGGTCTACAAAGTACATTCCAAGATAGCCAGGGCTGTAATACAGAGAAACTCTCAAAGACAAGCTTTCAAGCCAGTCTCTAAAGACAGCTCTTCTATTTTGTTTCTGTGTATTTTGGTTTGTGGAGGTGGAGGGCAGCTGCCACCACACCCTTATAGAGGTCGAGATTCTGAACTCCATGCAAGCAGTATGGTAAGCAACTCCACCTGCAGAGCCATCTCACTGGCCTTTCTTTACCACGTTGAATTTAACCACCTTTCATAATCTGGGATGTGCTGACAACGGCAAAAAGAACTAAAGCCTCTCGCTGAAGTGGTACTATGGTATACTGCTTATGCAGAAACTTGGTTGATTTAAAGTTAACAACTTTTTGTAATTGGTTATTTATATTTCAAATATCCTTCCTGGTTTTCCCTCCACAAACTCCCCATCCCCCCTCACCTTTGCCTCTATGAGGGTGCTTCCCTACCCACCCCCATTCCCACCTCACCCCTCTAGCATCCCCTTATGCTGGAGCAACAAGCCTTCACTGGACCAAGGGCCTCCCCTCCCATTGATGCCAAACTGCCATCCTCTGCTACATAATGTTCCTGGAGCCATGGGTCCCTCCATGTGTACTCTTTGGTTCTTCCCATAAGGTTGCAATCCCCTTCAGCTCCTTCAGTCCTAACTCTTCCATTGGGGTCCCTGGGCTCAGTCTGATGGTTAGCTGTGAGTATCTGCATCTGTATTAGGTGCTGGCAGAGCCTCTCGGGACAAGAGCCATACCAGGCTCCTGTCAACAAGAGCTTTTTGGCATCAGCAATAGTGTCAGGTTTGGTGCCTGAAGGTGGGATGCATCCCTAGTGGGGCAGTCTCTGGATGGCCTTTCCTTCAGTCTCTGCTCCATTTTTTTGTCTCTGCATTTCCTTTAGATAGGAACATTTCTGGGTTTAAATGTTTTTAGATGGATTGTTGGCTCCATACCTCAACTGGGAGCCATGCCTATCTACTGGAGGTGGTCTCTACAGGTTTTGCCTTCTCTTTGTTGGGTATTTTGGCTCCTATCATCCCCATTGGGTCCTAGGAACCTCTACTTTAAAGTGAGTCAATACTTGTAAATGAAGCGGCTGTGGAAAGAAGACTGGCCTAGAGAGGACGCTTGGAGAGCTTGATGAGATGAAGTGGGTTGTGATCTCAGAGCTGCTCATCCTTTTTACAGAATGCCCATTGAAACCTGCAGCTGTGCTGTTTCAAGAGAGGAAAATGTGTGTGGAGAGAGACCCGCACTCTTCACTCTAAGCTCTAGAACCCTCTCTTCATGACAGCCTGGTTTAGTGGCTGAGAATTGTGCAAAATACTGAGCCCGTTATACTTGTTGACTGGACTTCTGCTCTGAGAAGTGCTGCCCTTCCATACAAGCATGAGAACCTGAGTTTGATCCCTAAAACACACATTTAAATTTTTAAAAAGGCTAACCTGATTCCCCAAAATTGGGACTCTGACCTCTACCTGTACTCTACAGCATGAACTAAAACTACACTGGCCCATGGTCTGTGTTAGTGATCTCAGTGTTGGGGCAGTAGACAGGCGCATCTCAGGCTCACCAACTAGCTAGTCTAGCTTACTTGGTCAATTCGAGACCAACAAGAAACCCTGAGTCAAAAACCAGGTAGATAACACCTGAGGGTTAACAGCCAAAGTTGTCTTGTCCACATGGGCACCTGCAGCCCAACACAAAAGTACCTGGGAGTTAACATTTCTGTATTTGAGTTTGACCACAAAGTTTATAGGAAGATTAAACATAATCTGCCAGACATGGTAGCATATGTGTTTAATGCATTTACTATGATAGTCTTAAAAAATAGGGGGGGGAGGCAGTTAGGTCTGGTGAAGAAAGCAGAGACCATGGAGGGAAACAGTGTTACTGCTAAGTGGAGGATAGAGAGCTTTTCACGCCATTGAAGGCCACAGCAGTACGAACTGGACTTGTGTCTTTATTTTCAGTAAAATGGAAGATAGCTAATACCATTTCCATGAATCCATGGAAGGTATTGTGGGAGGAGTAGGGATCTGACTTATGTAAGACTAAAGAGATCTTAGTTTCTCCAGACTAGTTGTGTAGCCTTGATAAGTGAGGTAAGAGGCTGACACTGGAGACTTCTTCACTCATTGCTTTCTACATTTTGTGACAGTCTCACTGAACTCAGAGCTCGCCAATTAGCTGTAGTGACTGGCTAGTGACCCCCCATGGTCCATCTTGCCCTGCTTCAGCCCTGGGTTACCTAAAATCACCTCTTTGCCTTGGCTTTTAAGTGGGCACTAGGGATCCAGACGCAGTTCTTCACACTTACACGGCATCCTGCCTCCCAAGTACTGGGAATGTAGGTATGTACCAATACTCCTGGCCAAAATTACACTGATTTTGATCTTGGTGCCATCCAAATAAAATAAGAAATGGTCACCCCTTCATATTAAATATGCAAAAGTAGGAATATGAAGGAAAAGAACGAGTATCAAAGCTTGAAGTTACAGGTGAGCCACAGTAAGAATCTTTTTACCTCCCCAGGCTGCATTTCTCAAAAACAAGCAGAGATGTAGTTTGACATTGACAAAGACTGATACGAGTCTAAGATATACCTACAGGAGGGGTAGGAGGTAAGACAGGGTTTCATGTAGTCCAGGCTGGCCTTGAACTCAGTAGAGGATAACCTTGAACTTCTGATCCTTTATGCCTCCATCCACCTTCCAAGTGCTGGGATTAAAAGTGCATGTACACACTACCAACTGAGCTGGGGGTGGGGGGAGAAAAGTGTGTGTGTGTGTGTCCAGAGATTGGACCTAGACATGGATCCTGCCATTGAGCCCTGACCTGCCCCAGTCCTGTCTCCACAGCTGCTTAATTGTTGAGGTATTCTGAATTTGTGGTAACTGTCTTTAAAAGAATCAAACGATATAGTCTTTAACAACAGCTCTCAAGCTTAGAAAAAGCATCAGAAGTAGGCTACCACTGTAAAAGACCTTATGATTTTAACAACTGTTAATGGTGTTTAGAAACAAAACTATTTGAGCTAGGCAGTGGTGGCCCATGTCTTTCTCAGCATCTAGGAGGCAGAGACAGGTGGATCTCTGTGAGTTCAAGGCTAGACTGGTCTACAAGAACGAGTTCAGAACTAAACTGAAAAGCCCCCCACCCCACCTCGTCTTGAGAAACGACAAAAAGAAGGAAGAGAAGGAAGAGGGAGGGAGAGGGAGAGAGAAAGAGGGGAAAAGGAAAGGATGAAAAAAGGAATGAAAATATTTGAATAACTCCAGTGGGGATGGCCCCAAGCAAAGTAACCAGAATTGTGTAACAAGCGTAATGCTGTGCTGACTCCTTCCAGCAGGTCTAGTTTTCGTCCTCCTAGCTGGAGCTCAGCCAGGTCTTGCTGTGAGTGCACCTGACTAAATAAGAACAACTGTCACAGCAGGGCTGGGAAACAGGGAAAGCAAAGCAGCCTAGGGTTCATGACCAGCCCTTAAGTAGTTAAAAGTATTTGAAAAAAAATTTTAAGGCAATCTAAGACCATAAAGAGTTTGAAAGAAAAACAGTGGGGCAAGCACGTGGTAAATCTCAGCAGCTGGTGGGAGGAGGGAGTGGTGAAAGAAAGTGAAGCCTTCTACCTCACTTGGAGGTAGGCAAGCCACTGTAGAAAACTCAGGTAGGGTTGTCACAGTTTCTATGACTGTGATAAACACCACTATATAAAATGTCAGCTTATACTGCTATATCATAGTCCTTCACTGAGGAAGTCAGACAAACTCAAACCGGGTAAGAACCTGGAGGCAGCTGCTGATGCAGCGGCCACATAGAAAACTGCTTACTGGCTTGCTCAGCATCCCACGTCAATCACTAAGAAAAGCTAGAAGAGCTCAAAACTCCCAAGTCCTTCCACAGTCCTCCCCAAAACATGGTCAGGTTGTCACAGGAATACCCCATTATGCTGGCACCAATTTGTCTTAGGATTTCTATTCCTGCACAAAACTTCATGACCAAGAAGCAAGTTGGGGAGGAAAGGGTTTATTCAGTTTACACTTTCCACATTGTTGCAAGTTCATCACCAAAGGAAATCAGGACAGGAACTCACACAGAGTAGGACTCAGAGGCAGGAGTAGATGCAGAGGCCATGGAAGGATGTTACTTACTGGGTTGCTTCCCCTGGTTTGCTCAGCCTGCTTTCTTATAGAACCCAAGACTACCAGCCCAGAGATGGTACTATCTACAATGGGCCCTCCTCCCTTGATCACTAATTGAGAAAATGCCTTACAGCTGGATCTCATGGAGGCATTTCCTCAAAGGAAGCTCCTGATAAGTCCAGTTTGTGTCAAGTTGACAC